TAATTGCACCTATAGTGAACCACGACTGTTTGAAGTTTGTAGCAAAACACATCTTATTAGGAAAGCGTCCACAGAACAATTTTAGCGGGTAGGAGGATTTATCGTTAATATCAGCAAAGTACCACACATTGCTTCAGCCTATTTTTGAATAGAGCTTAAGCCAAGAGTCTTTGCGTCCCTATAACGAAAAGTTGTGGGAATATCACTGCTTAATTCATTATGCGCCGTAAACGATGTTTCATGGCCGGATAAATCAAACGTAGGGTGTTGATCATAATGTAATATAAGAACGGTATAGGACATCTAAAAGGGTAGATCTACGGTTAGGAGCAAACCTTGTGGGCCATACATTCATCAAAATGAATCCTGAGGATTTAACCATTTAGACACTCATCTTGCAACAGCATGTCAGCGTTAGAGTTACCACACAATATTATATTTACGTTTGAAATGGAATATTCATCAATATGTCAATACTATTTATACTGCAAGAGATACAGGCTTATACAACCACACACCAAACTCAATTTTTTTAGATGCGTCCTTCTCAGTGTCAAGACTCAAATACTAAACCTTTTAATACAATTAATACATTCAAATAATAAACTTTTTAGCACAATTAATACACACTACACTTGTTCATGACATCTGCTCTCTCGTACACTTTACGTATCCTCCATTCAATGCTAACTATCGTCTCAGCAAGTATTGTAATGAAAGGTTAAGAGTCGATCTCGACACTAACATTAGGTCTTATTGTCTTTTTTAACTTTATAACTCCTAACAATTCTTACGAAACTTTCCTTTAAAACGGGATTCTGAACGCGCACTTTATTTATAATCTCTTCACTCACACACTTATAACATATATTGGAAATTTTTACCCTCGGACACATCTTTCTGGATGTTTTCACCTCATGGTCTCTAGGCATAGGTTTTTCTGTGGGCGCCTTAGCCTTCACACGCAATAAATCATAATTACACCATTATTCTTGCCATGCACCGACTGTATTTTCAGTGGCTTGTGATCAACATTCTTCATTAGAACAAGCTTGGCTTTCCCACCCCTTTGGGCAACTTTCGATTTTTCAATCAACGAAAAGGCATTTTTAATAACGGGCACCTTTGCCCAAACAAACCGCACCCTGTTTAGCCTATATTTCACCTTCTATTGTTCGAACTCCCTCCGACAGCTTGTCAATTTCCTTACCATTTCTTGTAACTTGCTATCGACTTCCTTATTCTGCTCAATTGACTTTTGTATTGCCTATTCAAAATCAATACGCCTTTCAAATTTATTCATCTTATTGTTAGCCGTAGCTTAATTTTTCTTAAGCGTGTTTTGCCATTCAACTCTCTTTTTATAATCATTCAAATCAATTTGAAACTTCTGAATAGTACCGTTATCTTTTAACATCAAATACACATTACGAATGTAAGCCACGTAATCATGCCTTACGAACCTGATGGAATTGCCTTTATCCAACACCCCTACGGGTTTCTGGCCTTCTTCTGTTTGATCCACTCGGCCAAAATGCAATCATCCAACAAGAACACACAACGCGAAGATCAGTGCTCAAACAGTCAACAACGCTACTAATCACCAATTAACAACCAAGTGGTGGACAATATTACCACAGTTAGACAAAATCAATTAAAACCGCTGCGTCCTTAGGATTTTGAGTTGGGACCCGCTTGTTTTTGGCTCCTTATGAAAGTAGATTGCTTTTATTACCTTACCATCACTTAAAAAGCGTAGATTTGTCCTTGATATTTATTTCGCGATTAATTTAATATTTGGCATTATCGATTCGCCGACGTTACTTGGCGATATAAGCCTCAATTCTCCGAATGGTTTCTCAGCCAATGTTGTTTTAAGATTGTGCGTTTGTGCGATGTCCGTTGTTGACACTCTCCTCGTCGCAAAAATGAAGATATCAACTTCAAATACGGCAGGAGCATTGGTAGTTCTTGCACGCAAATTGGTATTGAAAGGGGCCAAATCCGTCGAAGAACACCTCTGTTTTTTAAAAGAAATTAAAAGTTGGGTTTTTCCTCCTTATTTAAAATGAACATTTTGTGAATACATTGTAAATTCTTTCCGCTATGTCAAACTTTTAACAAAGAATATTATTTGAACGCTTTGCGTCGTTTGCATGAAACTGTTTGCCAAAATCTATAAGCGGCCAATTCTTGGTTTTTATATCATGATAATACTTTCTACACTGCACTGGTTTTTCGATATTAAAACTTAAATTCACAACGTTTCAGCAACCGCCATTTCCGCTTAATCTGTTTTTGGTTCTTTTCGAAATTCAAAAAAACGCTCCGAGATCAGAAACGGTATATCTTGCCAACGGTTTAGACAATAGATTATGACCAAATCAATAATTGGGATGGATTAAAACTAATATTTGATTCAAAAGTCAACCCACATTTTGAAAATAAGGGAAAAAGAGATATAGCAAAACCCAAAGAAACCGTTCCCAAATTTTTAATAAAAACATTTAATATTTGAAAAGTTTTGTCGAACAGTTTTTTTTAAGGACATTCAATTTTAGTTTGGTCGCATTAGGTCAATAAATCGCAAAAAGAAAAATATAAGACGAAGAAAGTTGTGTGTTTAGGCCTTTTCAGCACCGGTCTATTAAACTATTATAACGTGTCTGTAATATTTTGAACGACATTTATAATAGTTAACAATTGAGGAAATTATATTCCGTCTCGGCCGAATATTTTATAAACACACTTGCACACTTCCATGCTGTATAATATTGCGTAGGCGGGGCTGAGTTTTCTACTCTTATTGAATATCATGGTCAAAAAATTAGGAAAGCCGGGATGTAATGTAGAAGGACTCGCCCATAGCACAATGATTTTCAATATCAACCTGCGTGCAACGACTTCTAAGGTTTTTACCAAATTTGAAGCAGATATCTCCACTTTTACGATCATGGGTACATTTACCACAGTAATCTACAAGCAAGGAGACCGACAAACATTTATGGAATAGTTCAGAATTGATGTTAACATGCTATTGCTATATTGCTATATTGTAATCTTACTGACGTTGTAAGATAGAACCCGCTCTGGCGGCTTGCTAATATTTGTATCGGTTACAGTATTTCAGTATATGTCTAGCAAAATTCAACTAATCATAATAGTAAAGTGTAATATATAGAAATACACAATATTGAAAACCACAATGATGGCTTGTGCTGTTTTGTATAAACACTTCTCACAAAATTGTTACGGATTTAATAGGTTTCCCTGCAAAATCCAACTGATGACAAATTATAAATCAATGTCGATGTTTGTTGTGTTGAGTACTGATTTATATTTGTACTGGGTTAATATTGTTTTTCTTGTTCACATGATTATCTTTTGACTTTAATATCCTCTTAGTGCGGCACCAATCCCGGAATTTAAAATACTCCTTTATGAAACATTATAGAAGATTTACGTGCAGTTTAAATAGATAAGGAATAATAAACATTTATTCACTTAGCCTTATAAATATTTGGATGCCATTTTTGGTTGGTATAAGAACTTTTTTCATGTGTGAGTTCTTCCCTAATTGCTCTCTATAAAGCCGTTTATTCGGCATTTTAGGGAAAAATGGACTTCATCGAAGGATGGGGGCATATTCATTTTGTCAAAATATTTGAAACACTCAGAGGAAATCTCAGTGCACATATATTGATTAGCATCAAATTGTAAGCCGATTTAAGCGGGTCTTTCTGTCCATGTGTCCGTGCAATGTCTGGTAGACATCCTCCTGGTCGCAAAACTGCAGAATTCCTTTTCAAATGTATAACAGAGATAGAAAGTCCTTGCACACAGATTGCTGAGGCAAATTGGTTACAGCCCACGACCAGAGTACAATACACCGTGAGACCTCCTCTGTTTTCAAAAATAAGAGAAATTTTGTATACTGCTCCTTACTTGTAAACGCCGCTAGGTGCAAAGATACAAATTTACGTTTGTATTCTGTGGATAGTCCTGCAGCATCTTTACAAGAATGGGAAAAATCCGCCACGCTCATTCGATATTATAGAATATTGACTTTTCATCTTGCAATGCTATATATATTGCTATTTGAGTTAGATATACGCAATTTTTGCAAAAGCCATAGCGTGTAAGTTTTAGTTCGGGTTGTTAATCTTGCGCGTAGAAAGATGATTGATGTTTAGACGAAAAAAGAAAGGAGGATTTTCGTTTTGGTCGGCCCAAAAACGCGAATCGGAGAAAACTTAAGAAAAATGTTTTGAGAATTTACGCAAAATTGCGACAAATGCCAATAATTTCTAAAAGTTTATAAACTGTTGGAATTTGTGTTTAATTTTTGTTTTATTTTATTACGTGCTTGTACAAAAACTTCTTTTGGATTTGTGATTCAATTCAGTGGATTATGTAGAAGACAATAAAAAGAAAACGGGAAATACAGAATATAAAAACGTTCATTATATTTGGACTAAAAAAATTCGATGTAAATTTGATCTAATATTGAAACGTGATTATTTTTTCAAAGCGGACATTGGAGGTTAAGAAACGAACAAAAATGGGATTTATTGATTTTGTTGATGTTTTGCTATCATCCAAACGTCGATAGAGAAATTTACGCTTTAAAAGGAATATTGATATAAATAAAGAAATTTTGATTCATATAAAAATGTCGACCAAATATTAAGCAAATTCTTAATGTTATAATAAGCAATCCTAAACGAAGCAATTTTTAAGAAATCTACTTATTAAGTATATTTGTATGGGAATATGTAAAGAGGTCGGGCAAGACAATAATAAGAAATATTTCGTTTTGCCTGAAGTTCATATAAAAATAATGGATCTCTTTTTCCCCAAACTAATATATAATAAAAATTATTGTACATCAATTACGAGTAAGCGATTTTAAAGTTTTATAAAAAATGTCGAAAATGTATACGGCTTTAAAAAGATAATCAGTGGAGGGTTTAAAATAAACGTATTTAACTAAAACTTACCGTTTTCCACATATTTTTTTGCCAATTGCCTGTAACTCGCCTTTGCTAAATAGATCGGCATCTTCTAAAACAGCTAGCACATGTTCAGAACTGGAAAGATTAGGTACATGTATAACAGAAGTAAAAGCAGACAACATTTCCATCTCCTCTAAAACCTCTCTAGAAGGGAATGCAAAGGTGATTATACAATGTGGATTTTCTATTGCAACTGTTTACCGTCTGCTCGATGTAACCAAAATCAATAATTTACGACCTTTTGGTGGCTGCTTTTTCAACAGCACTAGCAGAGCTTGCAAGGTCAAATTAGAGTAACGTGGACCAATGGGGCCATAATCCAACAAGCGTTCAACATTGTCAACCACAATGCAGCTTAGTGTGGAACGGTAAGCGTCATCGAAAATCTAATGTTATATATATGTTATATAAATTTTGTAGGCAAAATAAATATATAAACTCACTTTACGTATATACAGGCATTTAGCTGACTCTGTATACCCAACCATATCTTCTGGCGAGCATACTTTGACAAAAGGAAAATCCGACATTTGTGCTAGTTTAGCAGCCAAGGCCGATTTACCTGAATTAGGCGAACCCTCAATCAAAATCGATACTAAACCGGAGCATTCAGTGGTTTTAGCTTGCTGTACATATAACATGCCATCTTCCAATATGTTTGTCACCGGTTGGCCCCAATTTATAATGCCACGCGATAACATATTTTCTAACACCTCTTGCGCAGTACCAAAAGCCGGTTTTATATCATTTTCCAAAGCATGCAAGAAATCGGCTCTAGTGACTTTCAATTTTTCCATAGCTTCAGGATCTACGGATACCTTTTGATCCGCTTTTATCAATCTATTCATAGCAGTAGATTGGGCAGCACGTACTAAGCCTTCCAATTCAGCGCCGCTGAAATTTTTGGTAAGGGCAGCGATTTCTTTCGTATCCACATCTCCAGCAATTTTATTAAAATCGCGCATACGTTTCGTGTGAATATTTAGAATTTGTACTCTTCCAACTTCGTTAGGCAAACTGATTTCCATTTGCACTTCCAAACGGCCAGGGCGTAGTAAAGCCTCATCAATCATGTCACGGCGATTGGTCATACCAATAACTAAAATATTATTCAATTGCTCCACTCCGTCGATTTTAGCCAACAATTGATTAACTACAGTGTCATGGACTCCGCTGTTACCCGCTACTGAACCACGAGCTTTGCAAATGGCATCAATTTCATCGAAAATAATTATATGTAGGCCGCTGTTAGGACCCAACTACGAAAAAATATTCACATGAACATATTATGATTAAAACAAATTAAAAAATATACCCTCTTTTCCTCTTCCTCAGCTTCGGCAAACAACCGTCTTATATTAGCTTCGGACTCGCCGACATATTTATCTAATACTTGCGGACCATTTACAATTTTCGGCTCACGGGCATTCAACATATTGCCTATTTGGCGAGCCATTAAGGTTTTGCCGGTACCAGGAGGTCCATACAACAAAATACCTTTGACATGTTTGCAACCCAGCTGTTCAACCACTTCGGGAGGAAAGACTCTTGAGGCAAAAGCACGACGGAAAATAGCATTGAATTCTTTATCCAAGCCGCCGATACCCATTTTGCCAAAATCCCAATCAGGATTGATAATTGACTGACGCACTACTTTGCCCTTTGATTTGCCTTGCAAGTTCAATGAAGAATTTTCCGCCTTTTCGAATTGTATCATAGTGTTGCCAGTAATGCGGCCAAACCGTACATTTTTAGTGGAAGCTTCCTTTCCTTCCCCAATTGCTTTCGGGTCAATTGCTGTTTTGGAATGATTATAATCATTAACTTACTGACCTACATCTAGTCTACAATTGTTACCTTCTAAAGTTTTTACAGCCAATCCCAGTAGCTTTTTTTCTTGAAAGCTGAACACTAGAGTTTGGCCAACGGTCAAGGCCAAACCAGCAAATTGCATAAGAAATTCTTTGGCCATTTGATCGGTGTCATATGGTTCTTTAGATATGCTAAATATGACAAAAAAAAATGTATTATATCTAAAAAAAAAAATTAAGAAATAAAAAACTTACGTCTTCTTTTGTAGGAAATCTGTCTCGAACGAAGCCACAGTTATGATATCAGAATTTCCATCGAAGCGATATGGACGCACATGAATCTCCTGGTTAATCGATAAAGTCGCCCATTTTCGTTGCACCAAAGAAAAACCGACATGACTCCTTGGCACTTCTGGTGTGCGTTCCAAAGCAAATATATAATGCTGACCAGAGCCTGGTGAAATGTCAGCGTATCTGCGCTCAAAAACCAATAATCAATATTCTACTGAAAAATTAACCCAACCACTATAATGGCATACTTAATGTCATCTGGAAAATCATTGCCATTGACAATGGCTCTATTGGTTAAAGACAGTTCGTCTGTGGGACATTTAGTAGCTTTCATACGCTAAATTAAAACAAATAAATAAATCCTGGGAATAAAATATAATCGCTATTACGATGGCACTTACAAAAGACATATTGATTATCGAACACAACGCTCTTAAACAAACAATAACAAAAACAGATGCTCAAATTGGTAACTCTCTTTTAAAATTATTCTCCTCGTCGACACTCTCTCTTTTTAAATCAATATGACAAATAAACTTTATTTAAATAGTTTTGTATAAGGGTGTATTTTATAGAGGTTGCGTAGGATGTATTGATCCACTCTATTTTTGCAATTCTTTTCACTTTTTAAGTAACTGTGTACGTAGGCTGCTTATCTTATATTTATTTCATTATTCTTTAAAACCTCTGTTTGTTTATTCAATTTTTGTGTTTAAATGATAAATGGTTTAACATGGCTCACGGCTGGAACAATAAATTAATTATTTTGAAATGGCATTATAAATTGTTTCTATATATGTATGTTTTTTATTTCAAGAAAGAAGTAATACGACCTTATACTTAGAAATCCAATGCGAAATTGAGTGTTAGCATGAAGTAAAATTTGCAATTTGTAAAATTAGTCAGTGTTATCGAAATGCAATACACTACCCCGATAATCAGCTTCTGGTTGCCACGTCGAGTTAAAGATACTAAAGTTGGAATTTGGCTACAACAATGATAATATGTAGAAACTTTTGTATGCGCGCTCGAATATTATTAACTAAATAGAGTAAGCAAGAAGTTACGTCCGAATATTTCGTGCTCACCAGTCCAAATTTATACACGAAAATTGCAAAGTATTTCGTTATTTGTCGGATTACCAATTGACCTATTGTTATTAACTTTCAATTCCTATTCTTCCAAATATTTATAACAAGGTTCCGACGAATATCTGCTTAGGCTTCGATTTCTGGGTAAAATATTAAATGATAGCCTATACTTTCGAAAACATTATGTGAAAGCCTTCAAAGACTGTCGATCCGTATATAAAATCATCATATTCATGACTAACAATCAGTCAGGATAACCTTCTAAAAAGACGGTATACAAAACATTAGTTCGGTTTAAAATCGAATTTGCACATATTAGATTTTGTAGTCTTGTATTATAATAGGTGATATTGAAAGTTCTTCGCGGTTTTTTCACGGGATGGTATTGCTACCTATACCTCGGGCAACACCCATCTGACTGTCTCAAAAGGAAATGTGCTTAAGAGGTCACATTTCAGCTGACACTTTTTGTGAAGATAGTTCTTTAACTCTTTGCTCGTGTCAAAAATTATATTGATTTGAAAATGAGCGAAATATTTGAAGAAGTTATGCTTTTTTACCATAAAAAAGGTAAAACATGGAAAAACAAGCCGAAAAATTAGTAAAGTGAGCGGGGAAAATGCTGTGAGTGCACGAAGGACCCAGCGTGACAGACGCACAAACTGTCAGGAAGTAGCGGGGCACTAAACATCAACCACATGACAGTTTTGAATGATTTGAAAAGAGCAGGCTACCAAAAGAAGCTCCACACCACGAAGACTTTTCAATATGACCTAATATGTTGAGAAACAGAACAGAGATACAGAAATTCGAAAATAAAATATTAAAATATTCTAGCGCACTAACATCCTCAACTCCTCAACATATCCTCAATGTCATTTCTGTTTCCGAAAGAACTCCTTTTCTCTACCAATAACGAGGCGAGCTTAAAGCACTAAATCCTTCGTTCTTCCCGAAAGTTAGATTTCCCAGGAATGTTGTCTCATGCAGCTGCACATTTTTTTATCAAAAACCCCGCCGTATTTTTGATAAGATAAACTCAGTTCCTCTCAATGTATGTAATCTTAATGAACATTTTTGAATGGATGTCTACTGCGGAGGGAAACATCTACGTTGCGACGGTTTTGTGCCAAAAAAAAAATGTTCTTTATTATAACGATGACTATGATACATATGGATCTGGAACGTAACGTGTCTAGCTACTCAATGGAAACATTTATTCGAAACATTACATAAGATCAAAGTGTTGGAAGAAATTTCCTTCACTTTTATTAAGTAACTTGCCACCAGCTATAACGAATGGCCACAGAAACCTTATCCTTATTTCACACAATAAGTCCGCCCTACTTTTAATAAATGTAGATAATCAATGTGTGTTTGTCCATTAAATATACTCCTAGCGAAGCAATACGGATAATTCAAAATCATATCCTTCAGCAACTAGACGGCGAATTTGAAGAAATTTTCCACGCCAAAATTAATCACATTTTTTATAAAATAAGTCCTACTTTTAAGTTTAAATCTCTATCAAAGGCGATCTTTAATTCCTGGGAGATCAAAATACTTTACAGACTTATGAACATTTACGAGCAAGTATATTTAACAAGCAAGACAGTTATATTCGGTTGCAACCAAATCTTTTATACCCATAACCGTTATCCTAAAGAAGAATAAAGAACTAATACGGTAATTTTGCATGGGGAAGACTGATTTTTTCTATTTTCAGAATGAAAGTGAAAATTTACCGGTTGAAGTTTATGAGTAACAAGCAAAAAACACGGAAAGTAAAGGTGTTCACAGATTTTGTTGCATAGGCGTGTGGCCGCTGCAAGTGTGACCCGTTTGGATCATTTTCACATTTTTTTGAGAATTTGTAGGTGATATTTTCAGTTTTGCTAACAGGAAAATGAGTACCAGAGATATTTTACATTTGGGCAGGCGGACATAGGTTCATTCCGAATTTGAAACGGAGCGAAAATTTATATTCTTTATGCGGTTGAAGCTTGCTTCTGCGCGTTTTAAAGGTATTGCAAGGAAGTTAAATTTTGACGCACTATATTGGATAGTCGCGGCCAATTTTTCCCATTTTTGTACATGCATTGAAGCATCATTCATAGATTTATCTGCTACAGTTTACACGTAATTATCACAAAACCAATTTTTTATTCCTTTTGAAAAACAGGTACACTTAGTGTACGTGGTAAAGTGGGCGTGCCCTTAGACCGATTTGGCTCATTTTCAATATTAACTTGCGTACAAGAAGTTCCAATGTCCTTGCCGAATTTGAAGTCGATAGGGTAATTTTTGCGGTCGAATGCTTACAAAACGTATTAAACAGACGGAAAGGTGGACATGTTTAAATCAATTTAAAATCATTTGAAATCAATCCAAAATTACGTGGCGATCAAGAGTATATTTACTTTTTGGGGTCTCTGAAGCTTCATTCTCGTTCCAAACGTTTTGGTTATGGGTATAGAAACAGTTTATGCTATACCAAGCATATTTGCAAAGCTTGTAATGCTAGCGAAGCTGCTGAACATCTTATCGTCAGATGTTAGAAGCTTTTTCAGCCTTTTCAGTCTAGATGGTGGCCACTTTGATCTCTTTAAAGCAAAAAATGATGCTCACCTTCGAGAGCTAACTTGCTTTATTAAGAAAGCAAATTTTTCGTTTAGACTTATGACAACTTTTTTCTGTTCCATGTCTTTACGTTTGATCAATTTTACCTCTAAAATAATCTTCTTTCAGCCAAAGTCACATTATATATATATATGTAACGTTATTCGTATGTCACTACAAACACCTTTATAATCTATTAACACGCTTAACACATTGGCCTAAAATGCATTGCAAGTAATCCTCTATTATCTGGACATGAAAGCCGCGTTTGTGATTGTTTTATTCAGCTTAAACTCAACCCTCAAAAGAAAAACAAAAACGTGTACTAAGGGCTGTAAGTTAAAAATGTGTGCCAATTGAGCCATAATTGTCACATCGGTTTTCAAAATTCGCGGTGACCAACTAAAAATATATGTAAAAAGTTCTTGCGTTTCCCAACTTTTGCTTTGGTTCATATAGAAGTATTTTAAATGGTGCAGTTGACATTCCTCAAACAACGAGCTCATATGGATCTAATAGCTTTCAAAAACTTGCAAGAGATGCGACAAATTTACTGTAGCACATTTGTGTTGAGCTTTTGTATATTTATTATCTCTTTTAAGATGGTGTAGTGGGTACAGAAAATTCGGTCTAAGCCGAATATAATATTCTTGCTGGTTATAATTTATTTTATGTACTGTATCGAATACAAGCCTACTGGGTTATCACAAGCAACGCGAAACAATTTTTTATTAAAAATTTAACCGAGCAACAGCTTTGTTAAACGTCGCACGATTAGTCAAAAGCTTTTTGCTTTAGCGATAATATTTTATTAACAATTAACGATACAAGTTTAATAACAATAAGACATTTTATTAATTTGCACTCTGTATTGCCCAATAACATGTCTAGCGGACAAAGAAGCTATTATTGGCAAAAAACTGAACAATGGTAGTAATCAGTGTGTATTACTGGGCAGTGAAAAAGGTCCGAATAAGCCAAGTGTAGTATTTACAACACAATATATAGAAGAACTTATCCTGGTGCAAAAATTTTTTGTTTATTGTTATTCACAGGGATCTAGAACACTTGGCTTAAAAATTGGTGTTGAAATATTTTGCTTGGTCTCTGCTCAGGCACTCTCTTTGTATTCTCTCTTTATGGAGTGTAATATTTTATATCGCATTCGACATACACACATAGCTTATGTAATCATGGTGCGTGAGGTTGATTGTCTAATTACTCTGCTGAATGTTCAAGTACGGTTTCATCATTAAGTATCCGCTATTGTTTGACGAAAGCTTTAGCATGAGCTGTATTAGCTTTTCTTATAGCAGAAAAACGCCCTCTTAAGCAATTTAGACAGCAAATTTTGTAAGTAAAGTTCTTATATTACTAACCTCAATTGAGAAAAATATTTCTTTGGTACTTAATTGTAATTTCATTTCTTTTACGTGAACATATTTGTTGCAATTTTAATATTTAAATTCTTTAAAATAAGATTTTTTAAATGTAGATTTCTTACAAAACAATACTTTCACAAGCTTTTGAAAGCAAATTGAAAAGGAAAAATAGTTTCAGGCCCGGTTCGATTTTTTTTTTGCATGTTAATCTTACATGGGATAAGCGAATGAGAAGTGGGGCTTACATATCCAGATACTAAAATATCATGATTATTTGCGATACATATATATACTTGTTTTTAAAATGAAGCAAAACATGAGGCCGTTATATGTTAAGGCTAATTAAGTGAATTAGAATATTGTTAAGGTGCCTACAGTAAGCTAAAAATAATGTTGGAAACTTTAGCTGAAAGAAGACTACTTTAGGAATAAATTTGGCCAAGCGTAAAGACAAGGAACAATAAAAAGTTATCATAAGTTAAGAAGACAAATTCACTTTTCTAATAAAGCAAGCTAGTTCCCCAAGATGAGCGTCATTTTTTGCTTTAAAGAAAGCAAGAGGCCATCATCTAAACTGAAAAGGCTGTGAGAGAGAAAGAAATTGTGCTATTATCAAACTTGTGACATTTGAAGGTGAGATGTTCAGCAGATTCGCTAGTATTACAAGTTTTGCAAATATCGTTTGGTATAGCAGGAATCATTC